CAAATATATAGTACAGATGTCGCCCAAAGTACCCACCAGTAAGTCTTTTCTTCCTTTTTTCCAGAGTGCGGAAAAGTTACTGGGCTAGAACTCTCGCACGATCATCTTATAGCATGCAGTGGCAATTCCAAGGAGTATTTCAAATTTATGACACAGTCTGAGATACGCAGCTATTGAAAAATGACAGACCAGGCATTCCCGGTTTTCCGTGATACGTACATATGTGCAGTTCTCTACCGCAATCTGATACTAAGCAACAACTGACCACTGCAGTGCTGCGCCTATGCTGCCCACGTCATCACTGCCGAGCGGCTCACTGTACCGTGCGCGAATTTACTCTGTGAATTGCTCGTCCCCATCTCGCTCCAGACCGAGCACAGATGAGCAAAGTAGTGTGTTTATTTAGCATGTAGATAACAATTTTCTGCCAAGCAAACTGGGCCGTGATTATTTCTACTTCTGTTTCACTCATTGGGTGCAACGCTGCGGAAGCTAGCGAGACTCCTTGCAGTAGATGCGTTCGCGTAAAGAAATAGATCGAAGTTTTTGCCACCCAGAACATATATTTCATTTTGTTTCAGGCTGGGCATTAAGTGAGTATGTTTTGTCTCTCTCTCTCTCTGTTTTTACACACACACATGTTTGTAGGTTGTATACAAAGCTCATTAATTCTGAATGTTTAGTGAAAACCATTGGAATTGTTCTACTAAAGCAATTTTGTTTGACGATGATATGTTTGACCCTAGAAAGCTGCTCCAAAATACTATTCGTAGCTCCAAAATGCACCTTTTGGGGCTCCGAACCTGCTCCACAACTCCCCTTTTACTGCCCCAAAGCTGCTCCGAAACTGCATTATTCCGCATCCCTTAGCTGCTCCAAAAATCTGAAGTACACTTCCACCCCGGCTTATTTAATCAAGTACTCTTGTTTCAGTCTGGATGACTTGTCATGATTGCTTCATGTTGGTTTTTGTACTACTTGTGATAAATGGTGAAAATTCAGTTTGAAAGAAGTTTGCGCATTTGGATCTATTCCTGTTTTTTGTTTCTTGTTTTTTTTTTCGTACAAGAGTTTTACCAGTCAGTATATGAGTAGTTCAAGTTTCCCTTTACAATCAAGATGCATTTTGGATACTGGAAAAAAATCTGTTAAATGGCAGCATTAAATAAATATGCATTCTAATCGATTCAGGCTGGGCGATAAATGCAACAATCAGCGGTGCAGCCGCTGCATCACATTGATACAATTCTTGATTGTTGTGCCAAGGTGCACCAAAACCATGAAATTTGCTGAAATTGACCTTTTCCTAGTCTGAGCAGCACCTCAAGTGGAAGTCGTAATCATAACTGGTAGCCCTTGGACTCCGAAATTGCCTGCCGCATGCCGGTAGGTAACTTCAGAGGCCTGCGTTCGCGTCCCTCTTAGGGGCAAGCATTTGCATGTTTGTGGCACCAGATATCACTTGGTCTGCACGTGTAGTCAGGGTTTTGGCCACCAAAAATTATGGCATGTGCTTTCTTGAGGCTGGTGGACATGTGTAGGCTACCTACCCTGAAAAAGCCCACTGCACCTCGTGGGAAATGTGAATTTCCTAACCTGAAAACGCGGCTATGGCGTATTCCCCAAATGCCGGCATTGCCAGCTAGCACATTCATTGCCTTAGCAGTGGCACATAAAACTTTTTTTTTTTTTTTTTTGAAGTTGCGTCGTCTCAGCCAAGGTTCTGGCGATAGATATCCGATATCGTCGCCAGGCCAACGGGTGCGCACTGTTGCTACTTTACTTAGTCGAACGCACTTTGCAAGAGAGCCACAGCGGCACCTGACCCTCTGGTTAAAGAGGAATAAGATGGGAAAGTGGAGGAAGGGGGGGGAAGCCTAGCAATTAGAAATTTTTTTGGCTTTGGTTCTAACGCATGCAGAGAATGCCGCTTAGGCCACTTTTGCCGCTGTGCAACGGTGCCCTGCGGAAAAGCATATTGAGATTGTGAAGGGGATGTTAGCGCTCGATACTGCACAATACTCATGCATTTGTACGCCGCATAGTTCTCATGCATTCTCATGCATTCTCATAGTTCTCGTGCATAGTTCTCATGCAGTTACTCATGCATTTGTACGCCGCATAGCTCTGAGTACCAGTATAATAACTGACGTCTAAATAAGGTACTGGTAATGTGGCAATTCTGCTTCCATAAAGAAAACAACTAAATTGTGGGCCAGTTTTTTTTTTGCCACTCTTACTCTTCGGTTTTACGAATCCCCCAAATTTCAAGGTCGTGAGCTTAGCAGATCCATATTTATATTCGCAGAGTCTATCAAATGATTTGGCAGGCGCAGCAAATGCTCATATGGACTTCATCACTGTTCGCTCAGTGGGGTGGTTCAAAATACTACTTTCATTAGAATACCAGTGCTCGTGTTGATATTGCACGATTTAGGTGATGTTGAATGGTTTATACATTTGTTTAAATTGAACGCTTCTTTTTTATACTGCTCCAAGTGTGGTATTTCACGATAAAAATGTACGATTCTTACCCCTAGCCTGCTCCCAATATTTAATTTTAGTGCTTTAAAAGTGACATTTTGCTGCTCTAAAAATTGCTCCCAATTGTATATCGACTGTTGCACCCTTGAAATATGACACAGTGCGCATGGCTAATGCATGCAGTAATCGTCATCAGTTCAAGGGGAGTATCAACGCAGAAGGAACATTTTATAGTCTATGATAACTCGGCCTCCTCAAGAATTTTTTTTGTCTTCGCAAGAGATTATAAAAGATGGTTGCAGATCAAGTTCACGGTTCGTGAGGTCCTTGGAAAGCCAAGTGTCAGTGCCGATTAATACATTAGCAGTGCAAGTATGCATGAGTGCCTTTAAGCTCTCTAGTTTGTGATACAGGCTATGGTAATTGGCCAAGAGCAATGACACTGCATTCATATATAAAATGATGCATTTTGCTGCCAGTTTAAGTCAAGTACAAGATGTCTGCTTCTGTGTAGGAAGTTCTACGACTTCATTAGTGACTGGGTCATATCGGTAAATGGAGCCTTTGAAGTGCATAGAGTGGTAATGTATAGCAAATGGTGTGTTTTTTGGCATACTCATGCAATTTCTGCTGCGAGCAAACTGTACCTTAGATGAAAAATTTTCGTCTCTCGACACTTCAGGGAAGTTGAGGCTTTTCAGTTTGGGGGTGTTCTGTAACATTTTCGCTTTGAATTTTTAATTGAGAAACTTGATGATAATAGGATAATAAGAGCCAGAATGGTGCGTACCCACACGATGAGCGTGTTCCATTTCGCCAACGTTCATCTAAAACAGAATATTTTCACGATGGCCTCAGATTGAACGCATCCTTTCTGACTATTTTCAAGTATGACTTTAATGATGTTACACCTCATTCTGTTACGAATATCATCTACAACTTTCACGAGCTCATAATTAGTTTTCGTTATGTTGGCCTTGACCTCATGAACAGAGGTTCTGTGCCAAAGTCTTCGATACACTACTAATTTTGCTTCCAATCGAAGTGATCTAGGTGCTCGGACTAGCAACGTGTTCTTTATCTTATTTAATGTCGGACGCGATTTCGTCACGAAACTTTATAAGAAAGACTAGGACGTCATTCCTGGGATTTGAACTGATTTCAACGTCTCCTGCTTGGAGCAGTACCAAAACAAAGCACACAGATATAAATCTTAGTGGAGCACGCGCTATCACTAAAGGGAACAACAGTACTGTATCGGGGCTTATGGCGTGCAGGCCAGTGCGCTCTCAGTGAGTGCAAAAATCAACACCCATTCGAAGATGAAGTGAAGATTAGCCAGCTATCTCACAACAAGAAGCACTGAATGCCTGCCTAGATTGTGCAACTTGGCACATGCAGTCCTCAGTTTCTTGAAGGCAACGAATTCGGACCGCTGGTTATAGACTTGTTGTCTTATGATGACAGTGATGTGCGACTTTGGGTGTGCACGCTATCCTCTCTGTCCCTCTCTCAAACTCCCTCATTCCTGTCCCCAGTGTAGTGTAGCATACCGGTCATCATGGGTTGGCAAAAATTGTGGAGCTCACTCAGACTCGCTCATGAAATATATTTTGTGCTTAGGACTCACCAGGACTCGCTGAAATTTGCCTGAGCTGGACTCATACTCATGAAAATTCTCTTCAACGGGACTCACTCAGGCTCAATCACCAAACATTTATTCACCCGGAATCACTCAGGCTCAGCCTCAAATTGAGGCTGAGTGAGTCGACTCATGAGTCCGCAAGTCAAGAACCAGCAAGGACATTTTTATTGAGAGAGATGGCAAAATAAGATATATTTATCAAGAAGCTCGTGGAAGAGTTGGCAAAGCAGCATTATCAACCCCTATTACTAATAAATATTGAAATGGTGTATGAATGATACTGTTTTGGAATACTTGTCAGTATACACGAGTATGAACATGAACCCAGGTAGAGCTTATAGTAACGCTGAAGATGTGGACTGTAGGTCGGCAAACATGAGTGAAACTCACTCAAGAGTTTTACAGTTTGGACTCACTCAGACTCACAGCTTTATCTGACTGAGTGACCTATGCTGGTTGTTCTAGACTGGTGCCTTTTCTTTCCTTCCATCCCGATAATTTGATCCAGGAGCGATGGAGTAGGTGGCGCTGTTGCTAATACCAGCCGTGCAAGCTTCATGAGATGAGCATTGCAGCAAGTGTCAGGTCATGCAGATATGCAGTAGTTCGTGACAGGCAGTGCATGGCACGACTGAACCTGTGGTAGAAAAATGCAGAACTTAGCACATGCTGCGTGTGGCTGCAAATGAGATGCACTCATTGGTCAAGGAATGCAGTTGCGAGATAAACCCTGCAACTGCAGCTCTGAATAGGGTGTGGTATAACACCAAAGACAGTTAGTTTTCCACAGCTGCATGTCATAGCTTCTGTGTCCACCTTTGGTGTATTGCTTTAACTCCCAGGAGCTTTCAAGTTATTTTTGTCATTGCAGGCTCTATCTAGATGTGGTACCGATGCTGGCTGCCTGGAAGTCACGCCACCTGAAACTCCTCATCTACTCGTCGGGCAGCGTGCAGGCTCAGCAACTGCTGTTCAGCCACACCACTGAAGGCGACGTCACCAGAGTCAGTTGCTGCCATGCATGTAAATGAAGGGACAACTTGTACCAGCAATGCTGGTGGTGGCATATGCTCAAGAAATACCATTCAATTGGAGTCAGACATAATCTTATTTTGAAGCACTGTGCTCCTGATTTGATTTTCAGTTAGTTTTATAATTAGATAACCATGTTGTAGTGTATAACTTCCACCTTCTTATAAGATGCACCACCCTAGTTGCAGGCTTCAAAGAAAATTTTGGCTGATATCACACATTGTGAGACAAGCATTCAACAAGCAGCATCTAATGGCATATACATATTGTTGGTCGGAGCCAAGCATTACGAGGTGCATTCATGTCTTTTTGTAAACTAAGTATAGTTGCGTGCAGGGCTTGCCAGGCATACGGACTACACTGCCACATAAACGGAAGAGACGTCATATATATAATGTGCAAATTTTTTTTTCTCCCACAACCACGATATGATTATAAGAGACATCATTGTGAAGTGCTCTGACAATTTTCATTGTTTGGGCTTCTTTCATTTGAAGCTAAGTTAACGCACATGAGCCTAAAGCCTCCCTGCTATGACCGGGCTTCTCTTCCATGACCTTCGAGTCAGCAAGTATGCACACCAGTGGAGATGTCAGTTTCATCAAATGTAGCACCCTCTCCAACAACTTCAGCCAAAGAATTTTGTTGACTCCATTGCAAGTTCGATTACCCTCATCCAAGCTAATTCTCATCAGCCCTTAGGTTAATCAGCTATCGCAACAAGTTTTTGTTAGTCGAACAACACCTTTTAAAAGTTACGGGCAATACAGGAAAAGCTGTGTGGATTGAAGCCATAACTGCGTACGTTTCATCGCTCTAACCGCTTCGCTTTGCTTGTCGAGCGTGTTGGTGGTATGTGGCGATCCATAATATCCACACATGCAATGCACAAGAAAAACTATGCTTTTATTTTCACATCGTGAAAGAATATGATACATTAAATGCAATCAAAGTGACCATGAAAAATCATTACCGCACGAGTGGACGTCAAGTGCAGCTCGCCCCTTGTGAGTTAGCAGCTGATCGTTCACCGTCACTACCGATGCATTCACAGCCTTCTGCATCCAGCGAAAAATCCTCGTCGTCAGCATGGTTTGCTTCATTATCACTGCTGAAAGCAGTCCGAGGGATTCCCTGCAGTGAATGACTTGACACCAACAACAGCGGGCCTGGAGAAGGTTTCGTCAGAGTCTGGTTTCCCGTCAACAAGCAAATCGTTTGCAGTGTGCTGCCATCTATCAACAAACGACAAAAACAAGGGGTGCAGGGCTGGCCAATTTGAACGAATTGCGAGCCTGCACGATTTTCTGCGCACAAAGTTATGGTATTCAGGCACTACAAAAGCGCTGAAGAATTCATTAGGCATGTAAAAAAAGATAAGTTGTGGCTGAATAGGTGAGATGATAGCATTTAACTAACCTACATGGCTACAGAAAGCCATGTAGGTAGCCATGTAGCTGATGTGTATACTCTGAGGGCTATCATCGAAAGCGTGAGTTGCCATGCATTTTCAAGAAAACGTTGCGTGTATCAAGAATGAATCAGGTTGATTGTGTCACGGAGGGTCGGGATTGTTCACTGATGAGGAAAATAGGCAAAGTGATGGTGCTCCTTTCTTGCTTAACACTGAGGCTAGCACAGCCAAACAAAGCTGACCATGCTTGAGAGGAGGCTTCGGAATGCGGCTTGCCTGTTACAAAGATGCTTTCTTGGGCCAGTGGGGGTATCCATTGTTACATTATTGTGATTGTGGTTTTTCATCTTCTAAATGATGTGCAATAACATAACTTCAACTTTTGTTGCAGTGTAACTACAGCGTTTTTCATTGTTTTTTTTTTTTTAGGCCCAGTTGTTTTCTGGATGAGGTAAGGATGTATCAGTGTTTGAACCAACGTGTCTTTTGCATTGTGTGGACCACTGGCACTGTGACTAAAAGTTGGCAAGGTGCTGTAAACTGAATTTGCTGTTAATCATTGCAGTCTACGTAAGAACATGGTCATAATTGAAAACCTTGAATTTTTTCAAATATTATGCAGCTCCTAGATGGCTACTTTGACATTAACACAGCCGGAGTGAAAACCGATGCCAGGAGCTACGAGGTCATCAGCCAGGCGATCAATACCATTCCCAGCAAAATCCTCTTCCTCACAGACATAGTCGCAGGTGTGCCTTCATACCTCAGCCCTGGAAATCGGGGGTCACTCCCCAGAAACTGCAACCACCCTATCGGCTTGCAGCATGCATGAACTGGCTTCATTCTGAGCCAACTGCCACCCTTGATCGTATTTTGCTTATCCTGCGCTTATGGGCCACTGCTTATCTGCTCATTATGTAATCATTATTGGTTCAGTCCACACTCCTTTCACTTTTATCAAAATATCAGCTTGATCAGTGATGCTGCTGTTTTCTCACCTTGTGGTTGAGACCTGCTTGTGACAGCAAAATGTAGCAGTCAAACTGGTAAAGATTACTAGCCTTATTGAGTGAATCGTTAGAATGAATGAAATTTCGAAGTGTTAACTTAAACCTGCTAACATTCACAGTATAATGATATTGTAATATTTCATGTTGATGCAAGGAGGAATGCCAGCATAAAACGTCACACCGTTTATTCCATTAACAACAGCAGTGGGTGAGCATGCCGATGTGCTCATCTGGGTAGTAAAGCAATTATTGCTCGGCAGCTGGGTTTTGTAGCCACCGCTGGTGACGTAGTTTTTCATTGACGCTGCTGTGGTGCTGTCGCTTATCGGAGGCATAGTGTAGCGTACAGGTGTGTCAAATCAGGCTTGATAATAAAGAGGTGGAGGCTGTGCCAATTTATGCACAGAGTGTGTCACCACAGTATTACCAGCAAACGCAGTAGTATGTTGTCAGTAATGTGATCTCAAGTGAAATGCATCAGTTTTATACATTAGTACATCCCAGCATTTTGCTAGTCTTCGTTCAACTTCCAGAATATGCTCTACTATATATATGTGTTGTGCAAGCATTCTGAGTAAATGATTCAGAAACATCCAAATATGATTCTAGACAGTCAGTTGCAACAAGTGATAGCACCTAGACAACTTGTAGATCTCACAGTCTAAAACTCATGTACATGTTATAACATTACGCGGTCACAATGAAATCGTAACGGGAAACAGGTGCACATGTCAGCACTTTATGCTGTGAGGAGAACTTGAAAGCTATAAAGAAAAAGTGTATTAAGTGCAAGGAATAGGTGAAAAAAACAGTTTGCTAGCACACTTAAAATGGCTTATGACACCCCCCATAGATGATGTCCTGCCACGCACAGCCCTGATAGGGCACAACCTTGTGGTCGGGTGCACTGTAACATTGGAGAATGTGTTAAGACCTTTGGTATTTTTGGTGAAGTTTCATTAAGACCCAGTCACTGCATTAGCAGCCAGACCGAAACTCAGTCACTTGGTTGATACTGTTACACGGCAGGAATGCACCAGACAGGCGGAGAAAACAAATTCAGTAGCTGTTGCTGTTCTGCCATCTTAGCTGTAGCTGCTTCCCTCTTTGCAAATTTCTTTCTTTCTTTTCACACGCCCATGATATTTCATGAAAGTGCGAGGTAACACAACATAACGCAGCTCCGCAGTGGCTGGCAAACACTAGAGGTCTGCTTCCGCTGAGGCTACCGCAACAACGGTTGTCCTTCCTCAGATAACGGATCCTGGCATGTTTTGTCGACACTTGAACAATGGCAACACTGGAGACTGTTACCGTTGTACGGGTGTGCAAATAAGCACTATCGCTGGGATGACACCATGGAGTTTCATACACTAATACGTAGAGGGGAATCTGGCCCTAGTGTCTACACGGGCTCCTTCAATGCGTTCTTGAAATTTGCAATGCTTCTTTTGCGAGTGCAAAACAAAGTGATATGAACCTATATTTAATTGAAACTTGCTTCATTTATTTGTACACATACTTTATTGCGAAAAGTTTTCGTGATCAGGCAGCAAAAGTGAGACCTGGGCATATTCAACCATCGGGGTATGCATTGTTCTGCCATCGCGTTCCAGATTTGGCATCAAGATTTAATGAATTATTTTTTACAACACTTAAACACAAACATGCTTGTTTTTCTCTCGAATGTATGCTTTATCTATTTATAGAAATAACAGTACAGTATTAAGTGAGAAACACTTATTTTTTAGTCTTCTGCAATGCTAGCTACCTCTGTCCAAGTGGTCTGCCCCAAACGCACCTCTGATTTTGTTGCGAAGTTGAGTCAGCGAAGCGTGACGGTGCCTCTACTTAGCTTCGTCATCGTTTTGCAGTCAATTTAAAATGAATTAAGGTCAGACACACTCGTGTAAAAAACATGAACTTGATGCAAGACCCTGCACTGGCATGAGACGCTACATCTATGTGCAGCGGTGAGTGGACGACGCTTCGTTTGAACTGTCAAATACGACTCGTAAAGCTCCAACGTCACAGCAAATTAGGAAATTTAGTAGTCTTCAGCCTCTTCGAACAGCAAAGGCTCTGTTTCAACCCTTCTCACTGCACCCTACTACTCACTCGTGCTGCACGAACAATGAAACTGAAGCTGTAGAAAGATGTCTGTAGACATTTCGCTATCCGATACGACGCTTGTACTTCCTATAATTCCCATGGAGGTACATTATCACAGCGCCAGATTTCTTTCTAGGTATTATTGTATGAAGCTCTATGAATGACACGTATATGTTGGCAAACATCCTGTTCTACCTTGAAGGAACCGTGAAAGTCTGGTTCGAGAACCCTGTAGAAGAAAATGTAAGCTAGAGTGCTTTCAAGAAAAAGATGCGCACCCCCTTTTTGGCAAGCCTGTCAATAGAAGGGCCAAGGATGTTGTGCACAAACAGAATCATACCTGATCTCAACATGCTTGCCGTTTGCCAAAAAGCAGGCATGCATGAAACCGAAAAAGTGACATACATATTGAAGGGCATAGCAGATGGTTTAACAAAACTTGAAATTCGGACAGATGGTGCATAGCTGAGGGGAAAAATTGATTGCAAAAGCACACATTCACAAAGGTAAGCGGGCAGCACGGGCACTACTTTCAACTGACTTTATTTGAGGCTTCGGGTGCAAATATAACCAGAAGAAATGCACATGTGCATACAGTGAAACAGGTTTTCACAACACAAAAATAATTATTGACATATTCAGCTTCTGGCTTCCAAAGCTTCCTTGATGTGCTGCTGACGCATATGCTCCCTCGCTTCTTGATATAATATGCTTGCTGTGCGCCTTGTGTAATACACTGGAACCTGGTTGGTTGGCTGAGTTCAAGTTTCGTGCCATTAATCGATTTATGGCTGACTTGACAGAACAAACCATGCATGAAGTCTTACAGATTAGTGCAACACTAGTTCTCCAAAGATGGGCTTTGCCACGATTCGTGAAACTTTCAACAATGGTCCGATGAGCCAAGGACATGAGTTGCTTGCTTTCAACTGGCAGATTGCAGGGAAGACAGCCAAGAGGTTGTGTGGTTGCGCTAATGAGGGTTACCTCCTTAAGCTGGGGTCCTTGAACAGCGTTAGCTGCATCTCCTCCTGTTGGATTTGTGGCGATTGCCCAGGAATGGCAGGAGTGACGCACTTCATGCCAATGTGTTCCAGTGAGGCCCGAGTGTAGGGCAAAGCAGCAGCAATGTGTAAGGAACTAAAACGGAACAGGTTAGCAAGTGCTATTGTTGATGCTAAGTGTAACGCCCTAAAGGTGTTTTTTATGGCAAAAATACAATAGTTGAATGTGCCCTTCAGTTCTGTTGTTAGTGAGAGCAGTAGTTGGCAACATGTTCTAAGCAAGTACTTACTGGAACACTTAAGTGTTACTTTCGCAACTAAAAGGTCTCTTGATGTCAGGATGTTTTTTAAAACGAAAATGTCGCCAGGATTTCATTTTTCTCATGAAGAATATTTTATTGCTGTTGGGGAATGCCATAAGGAAATGTGGTTCGTTTTCTAACTTCTTGTCGTGTATCTGGTGCTAGCTTCCTGCGTGTTCTTGAATTTTAGCTTGCGTCGACATTCATTTCATTTGAAGGCAGATTTACTATCAGAAGAAAGGGGCCTGCCATCAATTCTGCGCAGCTCCGGTCCTTTTAATCAATTCTTGACTTTTGGAGACGGTGTTCTTCAACGGTGATGTTATTGGCTTCATCTGTTCGGGGTACATTTTTGTAGCAGCAAAAAGTGCATTTTGGAGCAGGAAAATGTGATTTTGAAGTGGAAAAAATTACTTTTAGAGCAACCAAAAATGCATTTTGGAGCAGCTTAGGCTGACTGCCAAGTAGAAAAACTGACTGTGTGAAGCAAAGCAGTGAAATAAAAAGGAACGCTTTTCAAATAAAAGCTTTTGTGCAATAATGGGATGTCTGGAATAATAATCTGTGATGTTATACAAACTATTTTTAAACCTTCCAGTGCATTTTTAATATGGGATGCAACCGACTACGAATTGGTGCTGCATTCTGGCTGCCAAAATAATGTAGGAGAGTAGTTATTATTGAAGAACACACAAGTCACTCTGGAATGTTTTCTTGAAAATGACTAGCAACAGCATTTAATTTTTTTAATTGCAGAACAGTTGTTGTATAGTTAGTTGTCTTCTTGCCTGACATTTGCTCAAGGGCTGCAGAGAATTGTGCTTCTCCTTCACCAAGCAAGGACTGGCACTACAGATGCTCTCGAGTCTCGATGCAGTATGTGGTGTGAGCACAGCCGGTGCCCAAAGAGTTTCCGTTTTACAGCAAAAGCTGTTATGAGATCACAACTCGGGTCACACGCACTTGTCCGCTGCTGCCGCGGGTGTCCGTAAGAACATTGCACGAAATTCGATGACACAGTGGGGCCCGAACCCGGGTCCGCTGGGTGCCAGCCCAGTATTATACCACTGAGCTACGCCAGTGCTTATGACCTGTTGGCAAACTTGCTTCAGGCAGGCTGGATGTCGGGAAAGCAATCACGTTAATACGACTTATAAAGCGTTTTAAAACGGCGAGATAACAACGAGTTGTCGTACAATGCAAATAGTGTAATTAGTGGGTTGTCCTATGCTCCAAGGAATTACAAAAGCTTGTTCTTGTGCACCTATTAACTGATGTGCATACCCCCTACAGCCATGATTCATCATCCTCGTCAGCCACTGCATGAACAATTGGCACAAAATTCTCTGCAAGTGTTAAGCAGATACGACATTTCTCAGAAGAATGACGAAAAATAGCATAGCGAATGCTGGCCTACTACCCAAAAAAATTTATTATTAATGCCCTAGTGGGTATCAAGCAAGGCTGCTTGCAGTATTTACCCAATGAGTGTTCTGAAAAGGCTCTGAAAGGCCGCTCTTCTAGCTTTCGTTGTGACTGTGCTGCACTTTCCACGCGGGCCCGGCGTTTTTTTTTTTTTTTTTTTTTTTTTAGTGTTCAAGCTTTTTACGCCGTGGATCATGCCTTCCTCTGTAGTAGTAGTAGTAGTAGTAGTAGTAGTAGTAGTAGTAGTAGTAGAATGTAGCTGCCTTTAGTTTATGTGTTATTCAATAGATGGCAATGCGTCCATGGGAATAATATAACTAGATGGCGTTGGTGGTTTTCACAGCATATACATGGAGTGAATGATGACGAGTGGGGCGAAGTGTGCATCTGTTCGTTCGCCTGTCTGTGCTTCCGCTAATCTGTGCTTCTGTCCGTCTGTCCATGAATCCATTTATTCGTCTGTCTGTCCGTGCTTCCGTCCGTCCATGCTTCCGTCTGTTCATGCTTCCGTCTGTCCTCGCTTCCATGCTTCCGTGAGTCCATCTGTGTTTCTGTTCGTCCGTTCATGCCTCTGTCTGTCTGTCCGTGCCTCTGTTTGTCCGGATGTGCAGACGGATGAACACATGGAGGAATGGATGGACGCTTCCACCCATTAATCATCATTCACTCCGTGGATATGCTATGATTTTGTTTCTGCAACACTTCTCCAAGGACTTGTCTAACGACTATCAGCGAACTGCCGCAAAAAGTTTCAGAAGCAGTGAAATATGAGTGAAGAGACAGACATTTTCAGCACATGATATCTCTCGCAATTCGTACCAGTGAGTGCATTGAAAGCTATGCAGGAAAAGATGCACCCGGACGATACCCACATCAGCTGGTTCGTTCACGGACAGTTTTTGCTTAACCGTGGTGAACAATATCAGCCACAATTGAAGCAGCCTCTTGCCATGCTACACGTGCACCCGATGAAAGCAGGTGCTGATCGTATGGTCAGCAACAAGTTTTGGCACATTGTCGACAAGTTTCGTAGTACGAGATAGTAGCCCTAATCATGAGCCTCTGCGACACAGTACTGATTCATTCCACCATCAACTACGAATTCAATGTTTGCAGTGCTATGAAACGTGGGACGTGAACAATGTAAAACGTAACTCCCCTAAAGAAATGTATGTGTAGTGATACTCTTTTTCGTGGTCGTAGCCAGGATATTCTCTTGGGGGGGGGACAGTGAAAAGGGCCAGGAAAAGAAAGGTTCCTAAAAGCAAACATGCAACGCATTATTCGACGTAGCCCATTGAACACTGCTGAAGAGGGCATAGCTTTGAAATGTGACAATTCTGGTTCATAATCAAGAAAGCGAAAGGGGGAGGGGGAACCCTTGGAAACATGGTTCATACACCACGACGCATCCGCTTTCAACAGCAACTGTGGTCCCCTACTGAACAATGCTTGTAAACCTGTGTGACGGATGGACATTCAGTTATTTCTGCTACTTTTTTTTTTTTCAGGGTAGATTGAAGATGCCACCTGCATATGATGCAAAATGTCTGTCATTTTTCATACAAATAAGCTCTCCATCCACTTACAAAGTTAAAATATCGATTCGGTACCTTCTTCAGAGGTGACTGTTCGGCCGGCTTCAAAGCTAGTGATTTTTTGTTCTTCTCTCCAGACTCCTTGCCGCCATTCCTGTTGCTGCAGTTTTTTCCACTGGTTATGCAGACCGTGCACATATACACTCGGTAAGGTTTCAGTTGAGTGGTTAATATTTCCTGGTGTTGTTTGGATATGCCAGGACTCTAAGAATTGTTTTTTTTGTGTAGCCACTTTTCGTGTCGACGACTTGGGCGTCGGCGAAATCGATGTGGTGGTTTATATTTTCACTGTGCTGTGCATTTCGTGCAGCGTTGAAGCTACGCATGTTGTTTCGATCTTGTCGTATTCTTTCGGGGTAGTTTTTGTCTCACCAAAATAAGTGGCGAGACAGTCCATGCATGGAACCTCGTAGACTATCCCAGGGAATATTTCTTCTGGCAGCAACAAGAACAGTGGAAAGAAGTAGGGAATGAACACAAAAGAAAAAAAAAAGTCGCTAACTTCGGAGCCTCCGAACAGTCACTTTTCACCCCCTGAAGAAGGGACCGAATTAGTCCCAGAACATCGGGTCATTTTATAGTTTTATTTATTTTAACTTTAGAAACATTGGACTAAGTTGGCCGGAGAGTCTATTTTATTCGTATAAATTTTCACCAAGTTAGACGGATCACTGTCGAATATGATCACCTAGAAGTCTCTCATTTTGTTCATTGTTGTCCTAAGTCTGGATTGACCTTTGACAATGAGTTACAAAAAAGTTTTAAACTGGTTCGCTAGTTCACTGTCCTTCTGGTTTTCAGATGTTTTACGCTGCTGTCTTCTATCTACCTGCCAAACACGAATAGCTTGAAGCCTCGGACACCGGCTCGCGGCTAGCCGTTCCGTCCAAGGTGCATTTTCGAAGAGTCACGCTAACTTACACCAGTCTGGGGACAGTTATGTGTGCCTCTCCATCAATCAGCGTCCAGCTGTATCCTCCCTCCCCACGGCCAAACACTCTGATTTTCCTCCCTCATGGCAACATTGGAAGGTCACAAGCCACCCCTTGGGCGCACCTTGTTGCCGGCGGTGCGCTGCGCCTGTTTTTGCGATAGTACTTTGTAATTTAGCGTAGTTTTGGCACAGAAAAGCAGCAATGTAGCAGGGTGTATCAGGCTTCCCTCTTGGCGCAGTTCGGCCCAATTGGCTTAGCTGTCACATCACTGCTTCAGTGATGCTTTAATGGGAGCTGTGCAAAATATTTTATAGTGCATGAATGATTACTTCATTTGTGTTGGTTACTTAACAGATTTGACGTACGCTGAATGTGTTGGTTGAATTTTGGACGTCTTTCATCAGAATAGGAAGGGTTTAGTTGTCACACGTGAACTGCCGTCATGGAGTTCATTATGGTTTGTAAACATTAACCTTACGTTAGAGCGTAATTATGTTTGAGCAAGCTCTGCAGGCCCAGAAAGAGTCATTGCTCGATCATTCGGCCCATTCAAAAATGGTCAAGAGGGCAGCAGCTAAGCTTTGTTTAGGGTTCACATTAGCGAAGTCATGCCCACACTCAATGCTGTCGAAATTTAACAAGCAAGTGCGCTGGTTCTTGTCGGCTGGTTATTTATGTACAGCAAAGGGCAGTAGCAGAGGCCTTGTTGCAAAAAACTAAGCAGACATGACCAGAAATGTAAATCCCCCAGAAGAGAACTCGTTCAACGTGTGTCATTCATAAAGTTGCGCACCACGTGAAAAAAAGTGGCGATTTCTCATGAAGTGCTCGTGGTGTTCTCCACTCCAAAAAAAGCTTGCCCAGTTGTGCTTGCACATGGTGGGGAAAAATAAAGTTCCCTCAAAAAACATGGTATACAGTTTGTCAACTGTTGCACAGGGGTTGTCTATGCAGCAAGGCAAATAGGCCAGATGGGTCTTTGCATTATTGACTGGATGGTGGAGCATTCCTGAGCTGTCTAAAGTTGGGGTACTAACTCAGCAGAGCATTGCACAAGTTGTGAGGCAAAGCAGAATGAAATAAACATTCTGGATAGAGGTAGGGATAAGGTGGCAAGGGAGTTGCTAGAAGTGTATGATATCAGTAAGTGAGGGGCCATGTGCATCAGCTATTTGTTGGTGAAGCTTTCGAAGGCAGAAGCTGAATATCTCAATAATTTTTTGTGTTGTGAAAATGTGTTTCACAGTGCATTTGGCTGTGTGCGCATGTGTGTTCTTTCTGGTTATAGTTGCGAGCAAAGTCTCAAATTAAGTTAGATGAAAGCTGTGCCTGTGCTCTCCTCTCGTTTGCATAAATGTGTTTTTTTTTTTTTTTCATTGTAAATTTCCTGTCATCATAGCAGACGATACCTTGAATGTTCTCATGTGCAAGAACTGTGATGCTGTGGATGCCATCAAAAAGGAGTGCCAGCGTTCAACATATGGCCCATAATTTCGCTCAATTTCCCAACACAGCAGCAACAATTCGAGTGCTGACGACGTATTCATCGGCTATTAAATACATTCCTGTCGTGTAACTCTCACCTCCGTGACAATACTATGTTGTCATCAAAGATTGTGGTGGTGTCTGTTGATCATCTGCTATTTAACCATGTAGGCCAGTGAGCTGTTGAGCTTATTTAGTATGCTATAGATATTTATTTATTTTATTTATGTGTGCATACTGCAGTCCATCATGGGCTATGGCAGGAGTGGTCTGAACTTAACATCACATGTTAAGTTCAGACAAAAATTGGTCATTGTCAATGCATGAACAAACCCAGGCAGAGCATTTCAATGCTCAATTGTTGCAGGAAAGTAGCTATGTTGGAACAAATCAGTTCTATATAAATGACAAAAGATTAAGAATATGCGAGCTGCGAGTGTAGGAAGATTGAGGAAACTGAAAGTACTGGTTTAAGTGGGCAGAACGGGGGCACTTAATAGACGCATGCATGAACATTAAACTTTCCTTGTGGGGACGTGTTCCCAGAGTAGTCAGACTTAGATTAGAAAGTTCAGAAGAGGATGAAAAGTGCCTATGGTAGCGAATGTTGATAAAACTAATAGCTTTTTATTGAATGGACTCAATCTTGTTAATATTGTTGTTATGAAATAGATTGCAAACAATAGATGCATATTCTAGGACTGGATAGATTAGTGTTTTGTACGTGAGCAGTTTGGTTTCTCGAGGAGCTACTCAAAGGGTGTGCTGAAGGTAGCCCAGTTTTTTTAATGATTTATTACTTATTGTTTGAATATGTTTGCTCCAGGATAGATTGTGAGTAAATAGAAGCCCTAGATACTTGTACTTGGGTACTTTGAGTAAAGAGGAATTATTGAAAGTGTATGTGAAAACTGATGGAGCTAAACGCCTGTGAATGTCATTGAAACAGTTTTTCTGAAGTGAGGTGACATCGATTTTGTTTTCATCACTCGGGATCGGAAGCATGGTGTGGCTGCCAGGTCTCTTTTATAAAGCATGTTCAATGGTGTTTTCTGCATTTTTTCTTGTTCTGCAGGATAGATACGTATAGAAGGATGGCATTTTACATTGTGTTAAGTGTTGGCATATATTGCGAGCATGTCAACAAGGGCTTGTAAGAAAGAGTAAGGCCATTCATCTGCTAGTAATAGCCTTGTAGTGAAAGTGCTTTGGTTCCCTTTTGCAGAGGCTCAAGCTGCACGCAGTGCTGGCTTTCAAGTGCGGCTGGTGGTGCGTCCAGGCAACAAGCCCCTGAGTGAAGATGAGAAAGCATCCTTTAGCTTTATCGGCTCCCTGGAACAAATCGAGCTGTGAGACACGTGGGAGCAATGCCTGTCCTGACTGTCTTTCCTTACAGCGCAGTACCTCGAATATAATACGAGAAGGTGCGAAATAAAAGCCTTACTTTCAACATCTTGACGCCATGCATTTTTGGCAGCTTCTTCTTTGGCATAGTTGACTGTTAACTAGTATGCTATCAGGACTACAACTACAGCATTGAAATCTCACTCCCAACTGGAATCTATTTAAGCTCGGACATTACAAAAAACATTTGTGGAAAATTCTTACGCTTCATGCCTAGTAAACTTCACAGCTGTCCTCTTCAGCTAAGGTACCTATTAAGGTAGTGCTGTAGCACTTTGAAGATAGTTGAAAAGTGTAACCAATTTTGTATACTATAATATTTTTTAATTGCTTAGCCAGCTATGTGTGAATGAATAGACTAATGGTAGACATAGTAGCCACAAACACTTGATACTTAAGCTTCATGTTCACTTTAGCATGATTCTCAGTCACCTGCAAGGCTTCATTTCTCAGTGGTGGGCACCTCAGCAAGGTCGACTGGCTTTTAACTTTGGCCTCTTGAAACTCTCCTATATGCACTTGCAACGTTCTTCCTCATGGGCATTGCACTCGTTGCATTCATCGTATTGGCATTATAATATGCAGTATCATACTGCAAATGAGCAAAGTACCCACTACGTGCCTGCGAGACAATCCATGCAATTGAACACTCTGCTGATGGTTAATTATGCCTGAGCACTTTGCATTGTGTCATCCATTCATTGATCAGTTCAGACGGTGTGATGCCAATCTACCCTGCATATGCATGCATGTGCTAGCAGGAGTCCTCAAACTGGTTGCGATTTTTTTTCTGCAGAACTTTCAAGCAGTGAAGTGGCTCTGTGGTAGAACACCTGACCGCCATGCACAAGGCCTCGATTTCAATTCCACCTGAATCCAAAATATTTATTTTTTTTTATTCACATCTGTCTCATTTTTCACTCATTTTGATACTGGAATTTCTACGATGAGGGCTCTTAAAATATACAGTCAAGTGAAACAGTAAATTAGCTTAGTAGTGTGAATATGTTCACCATTATAGGTTGATTATTAGAAAAATAAATGATTCAATGTCGGAAGTTTTATTTTTTTATTTCCCACAAACATCTCCAATGTTGACTTCTGATTTCAAAGTATTTTTTTTTTTATTTGGCCACCTTGACCCAAAATTTCCTGAAACTTGGCATGTAGTCTCTGGCTTCCTCAGAGTACTTCATCTTATTAATCATGTAGTAGTAACTATGCAGTACTAGACGCCATTATAATGTACGTGGCAGCGACTGGTTCAGGAAAGTGATGGTGGCACTGGCTACTGCATTTTTTTTTATTGCGATAGCAATCAGATGGACAGTCTCGGTTGGTTTGCTCCGCATATGGGGAGGGAAGTTAGATGCTTGTGCATGCGCGCTTATCCCTTGGGGCGAAGAATCATGTGCCTTTGGCTTTCACCGGTATGATTGTGTTAGTTGCCAGGCCAACAAGGTCACTTCCATCCGCTGCACAGTCCCGTTTGCGAAAAGAGTGCACTTTTCACATGCAACGACGTATAACAACTAGGAGACACTTGTAGGTTTGCACTCATCTGTGCTTGTGATTAGGTTTTGTGCGTTGTTTTTGTTTAAACAGCGCGTTAAGTGTCGAGCGGTAAATGTTAGTTTGCTCTCGTCCTGTGTATGTTGTTTTCGTGCATCATTTGTGCGTGTAACCATGCGCTACACATTTCGATTTCGATCTGCTTGCCAGTCCCAGTTGTACATTCCAAGTTGTTGCTATCGCATTCATTGCTTCGTCCTTGCGGCGAAACTACCCCGCAGGGGCGCCTGCGCAAGTAGGCGTTTGGTGTGTAGCGACACCACGGACCCAAGCTAACGGGGGAGTTTCTACTCCCTCCCACGCCTAGCCGTGCGTGGCTTTGCCGTGTCCGGGGAAAAGGGGATCCTGGGGGTTGAGCCGACGCTGGGTGATTGGACCTTTAAGGCCCCCCGGCAGAGGCAACACACCCCTTTGGCCCCGGCTTCACGTAGACGGCACCTCTGGGCTGACCCACCCAGGGGAAATCGGCAGTCGCCCTTTCCTATCTCTCTCTCCCTATATCTTCGTCTTTTGTTCTCACTTTACATCTTTCCTGTCTTCTCCTCACTTCATTTTACTTCCAATTTTTCCTGGCGGCAAGGGTTAACCTTGTGTGGCTATCCAAACTAGGGTAAACCATATTGGGTTATAGTAACTGCGTACTGCTGGCGTTGCGCAGACATGCCCACATGCTCTGCCACGTCCCCTTGTTGGACTCCGTGGTGGGTGGTAGGCGCCGTTACCGAAAAATACACATTTTCTCATGGGATCCCCGACCCCCTCTTCAACTGATCGTGCTTCGAAAAGGGTACGCACCGACGCAACTTCACTACTTTGGCCCCAAAACAGAGAAACTTTCCTAAAATATCATGTCCTCCACTGCGAACAATCATCTACTAAAGCTAGAGCAATCTCACCCTTCCTTGTGGCGAAGTGCTTGAGAGAGACCATCGGAACCGGTTATAAGGCCACGAAGATGGCAAGTGGAGATCTGCTTCTCGAATTAAAAGACAAGGAACAGTACAATAAACTCTCGTACCTCGTAGCCTTTGGTAACATCCCCGTCTCTGTGAGCGCACACCGTACCATGAATACAGTGAAGGGAGTGGTATCGGACGAAGATTTGATGACACTAAGTGAAGAAGAGCTCTTTGATGGATGGAAGGACCAAGGTGTAATACATGTCCAGCGCATCAAAATCAGACGTAACAACAATGAAATAGCAACAAAGCACTTGATACTCACCTTCAACTCAACCACTTTACCCGAGACTCTCGAAACTGGCTATGTAAAACTCCATGTCCGACCCTTCATTGCAAACCCGAGGCGTTGTTTTAAATGCCAGCGATTTGGTCATGCATCCCAGAGCTGCCGAGGACAGCTGATGTGTGCTAAGTGTGGCACAACCGGCCACAGTGCTGATGAATGTAGTCATGACGAGATCCTCTGTGCAGAAAAAATGAAAATGAGTAGGGTAACTGTTATTTTTAAAGGAGGTGACAGAAATGATACGTCAAATTATCGACCAATTTCAATAATTCCAGTATTTTCCAAAGGCTTAGAAAAGATTATTTTTTCGCGTGTTTCAAGTTTTTTTGACAGACACAGTGTTCTATCTGATGCCCAGTTCGGCTTCCGTAAAGGCAGGTCAACGGAAACCGCTCTGCTCACACTCAAGGAATTTGTACTGAAAAATATTGAGAGAAATCTTTTCATCTTGGCGCTCTTCATTGATTTTAGTAAAGCCTTCGATTGCATAAATCACAAAATTCTACTGTGGAAATTATCACAGAATGGCCTAAGAGGTATTCCATTAACATTATTCGAGTCTTATTTAACTGATCGCAAACAATCTGTTTGCATAAGAGACGAAAAATCATGTTTTCTTCCCATAATAAACGGTGTACCACAGGGTAGTGTATTAGGTCCGCTGCTCTTTAATGTCTATGTTAATGACATTACTAATATTACCACCTCTGTTCAATTTATCATATACGCGGATGACACTACACTTCTTGTTTCTGGTCCGGATTCACAGAAATTAATAAGACAATGCAACGATCTACTGGTTAAGTTATCTCAATGGTCGATTGCTAACTGCCTTAAAATAAATCCTACAAAAACTAAAGTAATGTTATTTCGCGCTAAAAACAAATCTCTGACTTGCCAACAAACGTTATTATTTGCTGGTAAAGAACTTCAAATTGTTGATGAACATAAATTACTAGGCGTTACTTTTTCTTCGCATCTTACTTGGGATAAACACGTAGAAAATATCTGTAAAAAACTGTCAGCTATAACAGGTGCTTTATCTAGATGTAGGTATCTTCTTCCACCGAAAGCAAAACTTAACATTTATTATGCTCTATTCTTTTCTCATTTAAGTTATTGTAGCTTAGTCTGGGGGACTACTGGGAAAACAAACATTATGAAATTATTTTTTCTGCAAAAAAGGATGATTCGGCACATTGACAATATGGGCTTCTTAGAGACAACACGGCCAGCTTTCCTAAATCATAGAATCATTAAAATAGAACATCTTTACACTTTTCGCCTACTTTATTCCTTTTATTTCTCTAAAAAATATCTTCATAATTTTCTTGCGTCTACTGCATCGTTGACACCTAGAATCACTTCCGCCAATACTAGAAACAGTGACATGTGGTATGTTCCTAGATTTCGCAATAACTATAGGCTACAATCATTAGAGCACAACTTGCCGCATATTTTAAATAAATACAAAGACGTCAAGTGCTTCTCAGCCAAGGAACTCAGGACTCTCTTTGTTAACATGTGATGACTTAACGTATTACTATTATTGTTTTCTATGTTTCACTTGTCAGAGCAAATTGTGTATGATTTCCTGTCTTCTTCTGCATGGAATTTTTGTTTTCATTGTTTTTCAATAATTTCAGATATTGTTGTATACATTTGCCACATATGCCTTGTAACGGACCATCGACCCCGTCAAGCTGTTTGACAACAGCTTTTAGTCGATGGTATCCGCCAGAATCTTTGTATTTCTGGAAATAAATCTATCTATCTATCTAAACTGCGAAGGTAGCCACCCCGCATACTCCAGAGCGTGCCCAGCCTGGAAAAGAGAAAAAGAAATAATAACTATAAAAGTTAAGGAAAATATCACATTCAGGGAAGCAAGACAACGAGTCTCGTTATCATTAGCACTAAAAACACCTTTTGCCGAAGTGGTGCAACGAGGGGCGGCACCACAAAGGCCCTTGGCAGTTGCCCGGACCACGCCTAGCGTGCCGAGGCCAATGCCACACGCCCCTGCGGCGGGAGCAGCCAGCGCTGCCCTGCCCACTTTCAGCCTGTCCACACCAGTGACCTCTACAAGCTCTGGCAGCAGCCAGGGCAATCACGAGACCAAGGGGGCTCCATCAACCCCCAGCTCGGTGGGGACAAAGACTTCGTCGATCGAGGCGAAGTCTAAGCGACGCACAGATCGCTCTTTAGAGCGGGTGTCCAGTGCCTCGCAAGAG